GGCAGCTAATGCTGTGGTATGACACCAACTCCCTGGCTTTTACTTCCCACAAACTCTTGTCCCTCTGTGAAGCTTTAGTGTAAAGGGAGTGGTGAGATCCTCAATACTACAGGAAGCAAGTCAGGGAACTGTTCAAGACCTCTTCCTTTGCCAAGATATGTGAGTTCAGGAGCAATTCTCTCCCATCCACAACCCTGAGCAACTTGCTACTTGGTGGAGGTCACAGAGCAGTCTTCTGGGATCTTCTCCTCTGAACAGCTTCTCCTTGTGAGTTTGTCAAGGTGCCTGAGCTCACTGAAGCGCTCAGCAACACACTGTGCAGTGAGGCGGGCCTCAGGATCATGATCCCAACATTCAATGAGAGTCTCGCACACCATCTGGATACCCTGCAGTAGGCACAAAAATACAGCAATGAATTCCCTGACAGTTACAGTCATAGCACTTGGTCAATGCAAACATGCAATCTCTTAAGTAAGCACATTTACTCATGCTAGCAGGGTTTATAGAACTGGACCTGCAGTCATCTCATGGGTACTATTGTCACTGTGATGTCTCATGAGAACTCCTATGTTAAAAATACATCCATATTTACAGCATTGTTACTATAGTTCTTGGGCCAGTATGACAGCACACTGCTGCAGAAGATAAAGTGCCTTGAGCCACTGCTGTGGATTATAAAAACAATGACAATTTTTGGTGCATGATAGTATCAAGATGGCAAATCAGCCAATGCCTTGGTGCCACTGGCTTTCACTTCAGTTTCCCAAGCAAAACTCTGACCAATCTATGAAATCCTTGATCAGTCCTTTATGCATTCTTTCAGACTAGCTCCATGTAGAAACAAAGTCTATGAGGTTGAAAATGTTGCTCACAGGTGTATTTAGCTTTAGTTTCAACAGTGTTTACAGGAAAGCAACACAGTTGCATTTTAGTGATATGCATTATAAACATGAGATATTTGCCAAGAAATTGTGTCCTTTGCTTTATGACACTAACAACCCATTAAGTAGAATTTATATTAAACTTCTTTTATTTAAAAAAGTAGCATTCCACAATACTGCATTAATTACATAATTTACCTAATTGGTGATGTTGACTGATATCAATGCTAATAGCAGCCTGTTATTGTCTGTATACAAATAACATTCATTTTTTTCTGGCATTGAAATTACAAGCAGTAAATTAAATTAAATATTAAACAATAACTAGAAATCAATAGTGCAACAAATCTCATTAAGGGGGGGAAAATTGCAAAATGTAAATCCATTCCAGAATGTTATCACAATGAATAATGAGTTCATTACAAAAACACAACGGCAGTGGAAGAAAATGAATATGGAAGAGCTATAACACTAAAAACAACTTCTACCAATTTCAAAGCAGTTCTGCTGCTGCTGAAGATTGTCATAGCTCCACTGAAGTCAACAGCCTGCTGCTGCATTTTAGGGGTTACTATATTAAATACTGGAAGGATTTATTGGGAAGGAACTAAATGTATTTTTATTAATAGGATAGAAAATGCAGTACTGTCAGACATCAGAATTCCTAAATTATTCATTTACAACCATTGTACAGAACCCCTACAAGTAGGGAGGGAGCATGTGCTTCTCCTGTCTCAGAGCTCTGGGGAGCTGTCAGGTAAGAGCTCTATAATTCTCCATAATGAATCTATAAGGCAGAAGAAAGTGTCTTGACATCACATTCCATAGGGCAATGAGAATAAGTAAGAACTGGTTCTGCTCCTATATATTAGGGTTGCTTACACTCAAAAGATTGAGTGAAGGATACAAGTGTCCTAAGTGGGACTTTTAGGTGCCTACGCAAACACAATTGAACCCCCCACCAAACCCCTAAACTTCATAGTTGTCTTGCTTAAATTGCCCTGGGTGCCCAGAATCAGGCCTCTGCCAATTCCCATAACTGCTCCAGGGCCCAGAACTGCCCAGTGAGGCATCAGACTCAAACCGAAGCCCAACTGGGCTTCTCCAATTCCTCTACTTAAGTCTCCTTGAGGTACTTGGTCTGGTAAGCACTCACAGACATCAATACATGGAAACAAATCAGGCTAACCTACAGAATGCATTTCACGGTCACTTTATTTTTAAAATGTGGCCCAGGGTGGTACGCATCCTTTCTATAATTGAAGAATGATTAGAAAATTTGCTCAGTGCAGTGTGGAAGATGCAACCTCTTCCACCGCCTGAGAACATGACCTAAGCACCCGACTCCAGGCTTGTCTGGGTGAGTGGAGGGGGGATCTCCAGTCCTCCTGTTGAAGCTAGGCTATGGGGCAGATAAGAATTCAAGATTCATTGTATTTAGAAAGTAGATAATGCAACAGGGCACCTGGCTTTGTAGCCTAATGGTTAGGGCTCTCACTTGGGAGGAAAGAGGCCTGGCTTTCCAACCCTGGTCCCTAGACTGCATACTTAAAGAGCTAGTCATCTTCTCTTGTGCCTAATGTGTCAGAAAATTGTTTCTTCAGCATTCAAGATCGTTGGCTTCCTAGCAGTCATTGGCTCGGGGAGAAGTAGTACCATAGTTTCTGTACAGCATTGCTTCCTTGGCTTTTTGCTCACTTGATCCTACTTAAGTTGGTTATAAACCACTGATTTTCCAACATTTCAGTAGGCAAGGATTTGGGGTGTGTCCCTGCTCCTGCTTTCCTGAGAAAGTCAAAATGCTTTCTGCCCTCTGGGGACACCAATCAGGCTGAACTACTTTGGATTTGGTAACCTGTGAGTAGGTATTTTCTGTGAAAATCTGTCAAATTATTTAACCAGTACCAGTAATGGGATCAGAGTGGGCTCAGCTGCTCTTCTGATACTCCCAGAGCAGGTGTTTGAGAAATTAACTTTTCTGGTGTCTTTTCAGGCCATTTTACTTAGCGAGGTTTTGATTGAATTCAAAAGCTCTGACTAGCTATGTGTGTAATGAACTCATGTTCTTTATGACTAAGGTCCAACAGAGAGACCCATTCCAGAGGAGGATTGTTAATGCTTCCCTTGGAAAGCCATGAATGATCAGAGATGCTGTTATCAGAGCGTGCTCCTCTCCTGTTGCCTTAAACTACAATATCAGCTGGGATGCTATTGCTTCTTGTCCTAGGTGAACATTTCTAAACTGCAATTTTCTCATTTTTGTTTTCTTGGCATTTGAATAGGAACAGGGCATAGTATATTCTTCTGATATTTTTGGCTGAGTGGTTATTGGCTTGGATTTGCCTTGGCTTCCTGGTTAACTTCTATCATTTGGGGCTATTTTATCTTCTGAAGCTTTAGGTGCAATTCACCGTCCTTATTCTGCACTAATGGGGTGACCAAGGAAAGAAGAGGAGGCCCAGTACAGAATGGTGAGGTGCTGGATGTATTAACTGCCAGCTTAAAGGTTGTATAATCTGTGTAGACCTCTGTACTCCAGCCTGTGAAGTGAGGGACAATGTCTGAACTGCCTAACCTTATACTCAGGGCCACGGCTCAATGCTCCACTTTGCACTGGGTGTTCTTACCTGATGGTTGAGCCAGGAGCTGGGGATCTCTGGCCGCCCTCTATCTCTCAGGACGTTGTCTTTCATGCTCTCAACACATGGGTGTTCTCGCACTTTCGATCCAAATGGGGGTTCGTACTCTTTCACTTCTGCCAAGGGAAAAAGCGCACACAAGGAGCTTCAGATGGGTTTGCCTCGTACACTGATGCCAAGAGCAAGTGGAGCTTGTTGTTCTCTAGAGCATTAAGAGCTGCTGCTTCCCAGTCCCGTCCTCTTCCACTTTACCACATGCAAACAAAGTATGGCCAGTTGCCTTTTCAAAGCTGTTTCAGGTCACTTGTTCCCTCCCCCTCCCACTCCTATGCCCATGCCCTAGCTGACATAAACTTTTCACTCAAACCCTTGGTCCTATTAACAGTAGGTAGTTATAGCACCACAGTCACCCACAGCAATTGGGAGATGGAGGAAAAGGCGCATTTTGCTTTACTCAGGCAAAACTTGAAGGGACTTTAACAAGCTCTTAGGCCAAGCAAGGTAGGGTCACTTGGGTTTTGACATCACCTTCCCTGGATTTACAATTATGCTTCAGATGGGATTCACACTGAAACCTACCTGCGTCTTGGCTATTAATGTGCCTGGTCTGTAAAGGGACTTAGTCGCCTGAGAATTGCAAAGGTAGTATTCAGGTCAAAGGCAGTGGTGAAGCTACTGTATTATCACTGGTTAACATTCAGAGTATTTTTATGCCACTTTAAATGGGGAGGGACATGAATCGACCTGAATGAAGCAAGGTTAATGTTGGAGCACCAACTGTATCACTCCACAATCGTGCAGCTATAACTGCTGTACTGTCGGTATTCTTTGACATCCAGGCCGATTATGTCTGTTTCTTGAGATGCGTCTTCCTGTTAGAAAATAGCATTTCTGAATTAGATGCTGCCCTGGTTGATGTAGTGGACATGGCTTCATGAAAGAACTCCTTCTAATTTAGCTTTTGTTTGTGTGTTGTTGCATGTTTGAGAATGGAAGGGGGGAGAAAGAAGAGAAGACGCCATATGGGACCACTGGAAAAACCTCAAGAAATTTCTGCAATAGACACTGATACAGTGTAGAAAATGCTGTGGTTTCTCTGGGAACAAATGGAGAGTTTACTCACAACCCTAATGACTTACCGGTATTGGATAAAGATTCATGAGACTGGCCTGTTCTCCTGCCACTTATTTCTTTCTAGAAATTAATTGATGGCACTTTAAAAATGTAACATCTATGAGCTAAACCAAAATGAAATTTACAGGATAGTCTGATGAAAGCATTTAAGTACACAGGAGATGCATAAAACATGAGATGGAGGGGAAAGAAAAATGTAGTGCCATTGTATAAATCAATGGCATTAACCTCAGTTCCCTCCTCCTGAGGTATATTATAGAATGAAAAGGTGGGGGAGAACTGAGAAGGGTGATAAGAATCACCAAAGGCTGGAAAAACCCTCCTATAAAGAGCGTAAAAGATTGGCATTATTTACTTCGGAAGGATAGGGGTAAGAGACATAATGGAAACAGAACTGTGCCCGGTGCAGAAAAGGTAGGTCTCCCTGTCCTACAACAAGACAGGTTCTGTATTTCCATCTCAGGCATCTGGTGACTCTACCAGTCTTCCTCCTGCTGATGACTGGTTCCTTACTTCACAGGTAGCAACCCCTGGTTTTAATAGGACTAATGGAGATCAGAGACTACTTGGCCTGGGCAAGTTTCACATAAACTAGTCCTTCATATTGCACAGAAATCTGCCATCAACCCCCAGCGTGACCCACACTGCAATACAGTGGAAACGCAGTGACAAAGCAGCTGTTGATTTTCAGGTTCAAAGCTGTTATGAACTTAGCCACTGGGGAGCAAACCTGATTTAAAAGAATATGAGAATCAGGCAACCCCTTGGAAAACAGGCTCTTCAGTCATGCGCTCTAGTGGGATTGGCATTCTTAGAATCCGGATCTATTATTAGATCCTTATAACTTTAATAATAAGTAACTCTTATTTGTCACTTGATTGTGGTACGAGCCTTGTTAAGAAACAGCCCTCTGCCATAATACAGAAAAACCAATGGAAAAGATGCTTCAATCTTCAGGAGCATAGAGACTGTTGCAGGTTTGAACCTGTGCTTCCCACTAACAACCAGGGCACAGGCTAAACATCATCTGGAGCTTTCTTGTTGAAGCTGGCTCATGAGGCAGCCAAGAAAGGAAACTATGGGGAGCCAGAAAGAAGCCAGTGAAGTAGCGGCTACATGGCTCAGTGTTTTGGAAGTTACCTTGGGGGCTCCAGGTTATATCTGGGGGCTGCTTTCACTGATGCAGAAACTTTTTTAGTGTTTTATCCAAAGAACGTTAAACCAAGGTGCAGCGGGCCGGCTTCAAGAGGAGGCCTGGAAGAGACTGGCCAGTAATTAGCCTGTGGTATGATGGCTAGAGAACTTCATATTGACAAGAAAGAGGCGCAGGCTCAAAACCTGCTTTGGTGAGGTGGCCTAGAGCCTGGATCTCCTGCAAGTACTCTAACAGCGCTACTGGGCTACAAGTTGGGAGAGCTGCAGCAAGCATGCATGCAGAGCAAGACATGGTTATTTTTCCATGTCAGGAATTTACAGTCTCAATGTGTTTGCAAGTGCCAGCAGCTTACTTTTTATCCAGATGGCTACATGCCAGATAAGTACCTAAAAAGGAAATAGGATTTAACCCTTTATGTACTGTGTGCACCTTCTTACAGATATTCCCTCTTTGCTACTGTGCCTATCTCTCTGCCCAGCCTGTCCCCCCTGTGTCAACAGCAGTAGTATCTGCATATCCAGCGCAAGGAAGATGATGGCACAGACAGAGTCAAGGCCTCTTTCTTACTGAGCCAAATCTAAAAAAATCCATTGGCCTCTCTCTGCTTCCCCATGTCTTTAGTTCATCAGGCTTAGTGAGAGAACAGAGCCAGGTATGGGTGTAGTGTATAGATTTTGAATATAGCTGGTTTATCAAAAATGTTCAAAATTGGGTATTTTGGGCACTTCAGGCATTGGCTCCTCAGTCCCCTTGAAAATGTGGACACTTCAATGCCTACATATGGACACAGGTACCTAACTTTAAGAACCCAAGCCTGACAACAGTGTACAAGCAACTGACTTCACAAAATACTCATCCCTTCACCCACTGATCAATCCATGTCAAAGGCATTTTGGAAATGAGATTTTTCAACAGCCTGTGGGAGATCTAGCAGCACAAATGGCACTGCAAATCTTGTTTCTCTATATCGCATAGATGCTCTTGAAAAGCTAGCTACAGCACTGTCCCTGTTTTAGATCTGGGGAAACTGAGGCCCAAGCCCGGCTAAATTACTTGAACTTGCCCCAGTTCACACAGTGACTCAGTGATCAAGCTGGAAATAGAACTTGGTTTTCCCGAGCCCTAGTTCCTTCTTTCGGCATAATGGTTGTCATCCCTTTCATAAGATTATAGATATGTGTGCATGGCATCTCTCTCTCTCTCTCACACACACACACGTGCGCGAGTCTCTGCCCTTATACCAGCTTAAAGGAGCTCTGCAGTTGGCTGACTGGGCCATCAGGTGATGAGGGCGAGGTTTCTAAGTGATTCCATGATTGGGTTTTAAGCAAATACCAAACGGCTTACTTTCAGCTCCACTTGGTGCTCTGCCCCATCCTGCTCTCTACTCCAACCCCTCCAGAACCGCAACATCGGTGGCCCCAAGAAGTTGGCACATAAAAGGGATGTCCCCTGGGCTGGGCGAAGAGGAGTCTTCTCCTGTGGGTGGGTGTCATCTGAGGTTGAAGGGGGCACTTGTCAATTCATCTCCTACCTGTACTGATCCTGGGAGGGGGCTGTCAGCACTGCTGAAGGTTCCCATTGGAGCAGATCCCTCTGGCTTCTCCACATCTAACTAAATCAGCCAGGAAGACCTGAGCCCCCTTCCATAGAGATGGAGGACAATCAAATTAAAGCCTACCTAGAGGCATTATGTGCAAAACTGTGTGTTCCCTGGGTGCTATGCTGCAGTCCCTGAGGTGAGGCATCAGAGCAACCTTACTGTACTCCATTGCTGCAGAGGTCTGGGATGAGGAGGCTGAGGTGTCTCAGCACCTCCAGGCTTAGTGGGCAGGCTTGGCTCCAAATGCCAGGTTTGTTCCTCCCCACTCCATGGGCAGGCACCGTACCCTTTGTGTGCTCAAGTGGCATGGACACACTAGTATTAGGGGCCAAAATCTATATTGCTGGCCTGAAACTTTTGTTCCCAAACAGCATATGATAAATCAGCATTCTTGTTCTTTGAACACATCCCTTAGGCTGCCATGGAAAACCAAGGCTTTTCTTCAAGTGAGGCAAAATTGCCTCAATACCTGAAGCAGTATCAGGCATTTGCTGGCAGTGTGCCTCTTCTTCCCACTCCTCACCATTGTATTTGAGAACTGTTCCCCCTTCCCGCCAAAACACCACACTGATAGCAGATTTTATCCTGAACACAGAGATGCTTTCAATTCCTTTTCTAGTGGGCTGGCTGAGAAATTTTGCTTGCCTTGCTCACCGTACCAGTGTCGCTCTGAAAGTGAGTTGTTGGGATGAAAATTATATTTCTTTCAACATGCAGCATCTGGTGCACAGCTGTTGTGCTGAATGAAATACCAAGTTAATGGTGGAGCAGAGCAGTTAAAGCTCTCCCCAAAGCAGTATTGCTGGGTTTCTAAATATGCCTTCTAAATTACACTCCTGTGGAAAGAAAAAGCCCAACTTCCATTTTTTCCTTCTGCTTCCCCACCCCCTAGCCCCATTCATACTGCTCCGTATATAGTGCCACAACATACCAATGCACACTGTGCCCTTTTCCTCTAGCTGCAACCTCCTTCCCACCTGCACAAGACTGCTGTTTATGGGAAGATGCTGCAGCAGCTTCATGGTACAGATTACACTGCTGTTTCTTTTTTTTTCTTTGAAATGTATCCTGACTAAATAGGATTGGCATGCTCTAGAGGCTGTGCCAGACAATGCTCTGCTGGTGAAAAGACCTGCCGCCCACCACCACCCGCCCTATACAAACATCTGCACATTTACAAACACATTCTCAGAGCTCCCTTTGTTAAAGCAATAGTCATTGTACCTTGACCCTTGTAAGCAGAAATTAGCTACCTTCCTCACTTCAGAAAAGTAATTGTTTGGATATTAAGCTGCCTACTCCCATTTCAAAACTTCCAGAGACTTTCTCTGAGGACTGGGCACTTACCACATGTCTGCTGATGGGACAGACAGAATAATGTTTGGTGCCTAAATCCTTTTGGTGCCTTTGGAAATCCCAGAATCACTTGTTTCATCTACTCTAGTTCAAATGAGAAGGAATTTTTCCCTATAGATGACAATATAATGGAAACAAGACAATTTCTTACACACCAAGGGAGCCACTGTAGTAGGAGGGTGGCTTGGCTTGTGACAGCAGGAAAAAAGGTCTGGTCAGGGAAAGAAAAAGAGAAAGTGAGACAGGGATGAGCGGTTTTTGATCATGAATACTGTATGGCAATGTCCCCTGTCTGGTGCAAGTGTCAGATCTCACAACCCAGGATAGGGTCTTTTGGAGAGAGCTGAGAAAAGTCTTGTGATTATGAGGAAGCTGGGCACCAACAGTGAGGTGTGGGAGCCAAATTCTGGCTTCAGTTCTTCGGCTGAATGCTGACACCACCCCCAAATATTTATGCCTTATCAACATGCTTTCTCTATGAAACGCAGGCACCTCAGGAGATGACTGCAGTAAAGAAGTTCAGGAAATTTGTTTCTGGAGACAAAGTGATTGAGAGGTAAGAAAAAAAAAGTAAAATCAGGAAGCGGGTTAAGATCAATGAAGAAAGGCCAGGCACATTGGGGCAGAGAGGCCTTTCCTTTTCCCATAGTGGCTTATGTTTTAATTCTAAAGGTTATAGCAGGTCACTGTCTTTTAGCTGAACAAGCTGGTTATTTTCCTTCCTCATGAAACTCTGTTTATATCCTCTTTTAGGCAGCTGCCTTGTGAGCAGAGCTGCCGTGAGGTCTGCTCTCACCACAAGCACCATTCCGCTGCACTCAGCAAATATCAACAGGAAGGGACCTCAGGCATCAGCAAAGATGAAAGACTCCAGAGGAAACAGCTCACATATATATTAATATAAGTGCGCTGCTAAACGCAAGAAGCACAGAGAGCTCGAGAGACGGGGCAAAGGGCTCGTAATTCAGCTTTCAAATTTTGCCACCAGTGTTTGCAAAGGGCAAATTAAAAGGTGACCCATATTTGGAAGTGTGCAGAGCCATCACAGCTAAGCCAGGAGGAGCTTGTCTTGTAAGATGCTAGGTTGAGGTTAAAGCCGAGAACCACAAAATGCTGATTTAAAAAAAAGAGATTGTATGTAGTTATATCTAGAGCTGGATAGAATAATGAATACTTATTTGACAGGATTACTTGTACTGTTCATTGCTCAGAGCACAGCCCATAGAGGAAGACTGAAAGCTAGGCTGATAGCAGGGAGACCAGGGTAGGGGGAACTTGCATCTTAGTATATCTGTGCAGCTACCTATGGAGGTTTCTATGCCTGTACAGTGCCCCAGTAAGGTTAGGAAGAGGACCCACCCAGCAGTGCATCTCTCACCTCTTCACACTGGGGTGTCCACACTGTTGATCTCTGATCCCACTCAGTGCAGTCCCTTGAAATGCTACTGTTCTAATTCCGATAGAAAAGGAGTCCTTAAAATCTTCAAAGAAGGGGAAAAATTGCTTGCTGCACATCTATTACAAGGGCTGTCAAGGTTATCTGCAATATCTCTGTTACTCAGCCCTATCTGTACACACATAAATGTGCCGAAGTGTGTGATGTTAAAGTGAACGCAAACATTCCAGAACGCCCTGTTCTACGAGACCAGGAAGATTCACATATAACCTAAATCAGCGGTTTATATCAAATAGACTAAATCAAATCCCAGTGAGCAACTCAGTATGCTGGGGACAATTTCCTGGTTTCTGTTATACTGCTCCAGACTGAAGATTTAAGGGTATAAGAGAAATGGAGAGAGTTAACTTTATTGAATGAGCTGCAAATGAACATTACACAGTAGATCTTCCTGATGTTCTTTATTTTGACATTCAATGAATTTAACTTTGTCCTGCATTTTCAATATTCAGTATCTCACAGGGTGTGCGTGTACTTTTAATATGTTGTGGATGTGTTGCTACATTACAGAAGTTGGCATGATGCAGTTGGCGCCCTTTGTATGAAATGAGGTTGAGTCTGTAGGATTTATACAAGGATATTGCTGCTAAACAGTTTGCTCATTTAAATGGTTCTTATTAGATTTCTAATGTAAAATTCTAAAGAGGTAACGCTTCTCCATCCTAGTACTTCAGACTGTACAGTGCCTCTGATCATCTTGAAAGAAAAACTATGAAGGCAGCTTAGAAAACTCAGGTACTGCAGAACTAGTCCCACAGCATTTAAAACATTAAAACAACACAGCATTGCTTGAGCATCTCTGAAAAACATTCCTTTAAAAATAAAGGCCCACTGTACATACCTCCAACACCATTGCAACGAGATGTCATCTCCCACAGGACCAAAGCCATAGAGTACACATCAGTTTGCTTGAAGGATTCCACGTTCTCTAGGTTCATTCTGGATTCCAGGACTTCAGGAGCCATGTATCTTGCTGTGCCAACCTGTAGCACAACATACAAGGAACAACTCAAGTGCTGAAACTACAGTTCACATTTCTAATTCTAATGCAGTTTTACTTCTGTTTCCAAACATAACTACGTTATTTGATCTTTAGTATGAAACACAGGTCAATAAACCAAATTCTTTGTCGCTTAGAGAATCCGGCCCCAGGTTAATCACCACCTTTCTCGTGACTCAGTGATCCAAGAAGATAAAAACAATATTTAGTAGCTTTTCAGTATGGGATTTCATCACCATCTCCTCCTCACTCTTTGGTTGTTTATAGAGATAAACCTTGCTGCTTACCTGATACCACATGCCACATTCATTGCATGTTCAGCATGTTTTTGTGCATTTCAAATTAACATGACTCACTTTGTGTTATAATGCTACTAAGCCCTTCCTTTTGTTGATGATGGAACTATTTAAAATGCAAACTCTAAAATAAATGCAAAAAAAAGTTTAAGTTCCCCTTGAACCCCTGGGCTGGCTTAGTTAGGGCATATCCACTTCAGTAGTTAATAGCACATAACAGGGTGATAGCATGGTATGGCCAATACCATGTCTCACTGCTTTTCATCTCTAGCCTGAATGATCACATACCCATTTGCAGTTGTGCTGGTTGGGGTAAGCTTTTAGTGTAAGTCTGGAATGAAACTGCAAATGCATCCTGGACTGCTTAACTGATCTTTCACCAGGTCCAGATAAAATAGCACCCTCCCACCACCCCATAAGAAAGCAAAAATGCAAATGGTTAATGCAGACTCAGTCATTTGAGTGAAAAATAGAACCTTCCACTTGGTTTGGAAAAGCCCACATAAAAAAGTTGACACTACTCATTTTCTAAGTGTTTTTTTTTTCAGTTTAGGCCCACCCAGAATTATGACCCTTCTGCACTGGAGGCAGAAATATTAACGATAACTCTTCTCAGAGGGAAAGATTTTTTGGCTTTCTTCTGTCCCCCTTGTATCCCAATTGTCACTTCTTTAATCTACATTTAGGTTACATGGTCTGAGTCTGGGACTGCATTTTTTGTTTGTGTGTGAAGCCAGGTAGGCTCCTCAAAAGGCATTTAAAAATGCCTAAATTCCACTGATTTGGGAGTCGGACGCCTAAAAATATTTGAGGATTTGGATCCCAGTGCACTTGGCTGTTACGGTAATAGAGCTAAAATAATAAAAATAACTAAATACCTTTTCTCTCTCTTTGTATGGCTCTACATGCCTGTAATGTTTGTTAAAGAATATAAAACACATGTTGTTGGAGAAAGCAGAAATGAGGACAATGCTTGATAAGCACCAAAACCCCCTTAGGGTTGCCTTTCTAATGCATTTTATTTTGCAAATGCTGCTTTCCTTCCAGGTCTTACTTACGGAGAACACAAAACACTGAAACAATAGGACAAAGGCCCAGACTCAAGCTTTCTCAATAAAGTAACTTTTGCCTGTTTACATTATCTACAGATTATGAGTGGACAGAAAAACAGATTATAAAAAACTGTAATGGAGAAAGGTTAGAAACCAACCTCTATAATCAGGCTTACTTGTATTGCATATTTGATGCTGGCAAATGCATGTTATGCACCTGGTGGCTGGCTAGGAGAAGAATCAAGTTTGTATTAGGTGTACCACACATACAAGAATATTTGGCCTCATAGGTTACATTCCAGAGCTAAAGCAGAAGACAGGAATTATTTTCCACAAAAGACAGTTGAAAGAAACTAAAATGTACTTCAAATGAAAATGTTTGGCCTGCTCTATTACATATCATTACAAACCAGGCTTTCCAATTGGAAAGCCTGGAGTCTGTCAATTAAATTTACAGGTGGTGTGTAAAGCAGTGGAGATTTCTCACTCGCTGATGCCCTTGCAGATACACTTTTAGACCTAATTACACCAATTTTAGTGTTGTGTATAAGGGTATAAGTCAAGGAGCAGGTGAAAGTTTAACCAGGCTGGTTAAAGCTACTATATAGCATGTCATGGCACCAATGGCATGTGACACAGGGGAGACAGGCAGCTCTAAAGGAACCAAAAGCTATAAGCGGATCTGAGTTTAAGAACGTCTCTAACTGTACTGTATTCAGTAGTGACCCTGGCATTTTGTGACTCTGGTGGAAGTGGTCTTTTTAAAAGGTGTTTCATTTGAGATGGCTCCTTCCAACTCTGAACAATATCCCCAAACCTTATGGAGGAAAGCAGCAGACTTCCATTTACGTCAGTGGAATTGATAGTCTTGTAAATTACCAGAGAGATTTTAAAGGCCAATTTATAACTGATGTAAGGCAGTAGAGCCCCCTTCATTTTACTGGAGCCACACTGATTGAAAGGGTGGCCATAAACACTCTCTAGCCAAGAAAGAAAATGGTCCCATGTAAAGTAAATTACAGCATGAACACCTACACTTATCCTTTCCCTAAGCATGCAAACTGTGGTGTGTGAGCTATGAAAGGGTCTAAATATCAGTCAGATCTACTTTAGGACCTAATCTACTTAACACAGGCTGTGTCTACATGAAACGCTTACTGCGCAGTAGTTCATTACAATAACGCTGTTGGGCACGAAGCCATACGGAGATGCTACCCCGCAGTAACACTGGTTACTGCGCTGTTTTTCAGTACTTGGGTATGCCAGTACTAAATGATAGGGGTGTGCAAAATGGGCCATATTTGATTCAGATTTGGCCTAAATTGGGAGACAGTGATTCAATTTGTTGATTCGGATCATTGTCCCGATTCGACTGGGCTGAATCTGGATCTGAAGATTCGATGCTGATTAGAAGAATCAGTGATTAGGCCATACTCACAACTTTAAATGTTTTTTCTAAATACCTTGAGGTACCAGGCATGGTTTGTGAATGCTGCGATGGTGGGGCAGATGAAGTGTTCCACAGGAGCACGGTGGTGAACCCAGAACTTCTGGATCTGCTGCTGAGCATGCGGGGAACACCTCCTGCACCCCATGGTTCAGCAATTGGCCAGGGGGACCCCAGGTGCCCCCCCCAGACCCAGGAAGTACCAGTTGCCGAGTCGGGGGTGGGGAAGCTTTTGGCCCACTTCTGGGTCTGCCACCGAGCATGCTGGGGACTACCCCACCATGCTCCTGTGGGACACTGTATCCGCCCCAGCATCTCAGTGTTCATGAGCTGCCTAGTACCTTGAGGTATGTAGAAAAAACATTTAAAGCTGTGTCTATGTCTGAATCATTAAATCCTTCAAATCATCAAATCAATTTGGAGGGTTCTGATTCAATTCAGAGAGATTAAAGTGTCTCCTGATTTGATTCGGATTTGGAGATTTGGCCCGATTCGGTGGAATCTGTAGAATTGAATTAGTGACTGAAGCTTCGCATAGCCCTACTAAATGACTACGCAGTAACAACTGTGCAGTCAGCATCTTGTGCAGACACAGCCAGAGAGGTCATTTACGGTGAAGGCATGTTCATGATCATTGCTAATATTTACAGAAGCACTTTTATAATTTCACCTTTAAAGTGCATCTTTAAAGTACTCCCAGCATTCCTTTGAAGTAGGTAAGTACTTGCTATATCTAGTTATAAGAAAAATGAGGGACTTACATACAGTACTTACGCATTTTTCACATTTGTCTGCTTGTGGAGAAAGTACTATATTCCTAAAAGGTTTCTCAGTGATCTTTAAAAAATAATGATGTAGCCATTCTCCCTTCCTAGCTCAGATTCTGATTCTTGTTTATGCTGGTTTAACTCAGAAGTAACTAATGAAATGGATAAGAAACTTTTTAGAGATCATAATCAGGAATTGTGGCATAATATTTCAAGAATATAAAATACCACCTTAGCACAAACAGTAGCCATGTAATCCGGGCTGTATGCACTTCAGTGTAAGCGTATGTATGCTGGTTGCATTTATATACATAAAATACTGATCATAACAAACCTGTCATGGTATTATTTATACTTGTTTCTTAATACTTAGGTTACAGCCTCTTTATTTAGAAAAACTGTCACATTTATTGCTAATAATTTTAAATGGATATCATAGCAGGGTTTTTTTTTCCCTTCAGTCCCAGAAATGAACTCCTACTCCAAAACAAGCTGCTTTAACATTTTAACTCACCTGTCCACTGTTAGCCAAGTCATCCACAGACAGCGAAGGATCAAGCCTCAGGGATAACCCAAAGTCACACAGACAGCAGGTTAGGTCATTTTTCACTAGGATATTGGAGCTCTTCAGGTCTCTGTGCACAATGGGTGTTTTGGGTCGACCACAGGGTGTATGGTCGCTGTGGAGGTGGGCAATCCCTCGCGCCAAAGACCCACCAAGCTTCCACAGGTCCTCCCAGCTGATGATGTGGCGTGTAAGGTACTCCTGCAAGTTTCCTCTGGCATGGAAGGCAGTAATCAACCAATACTGTTTTCCTATCTCTGTCTTACGCTCCTCTGCTGTCAGGAACTGAAGAATGTTCTCATGCTTTAGGTTTACATCTGAAAATATATCCTTTTCAGTCTTCCAAGAAGCATATTCTTCGTAAGGGAAGATCTTGACAGCCACTGTTTCATACTGCTCAGATGTGTTTTGCTTCAGTTTGGCCTTATACACTTCAGCAAACCTGCCTTTTCCTACAAGAGTGTCTAGCTCGATAGGCAGTAGCTCAGTGTTGTGGTTAATGTTGTTGGCACAAGTTGAGCTGATGTCTGAGCGGTCATCATCTAACATAATGGCACAAACATCACTGCAGTCCTTGTGTTTCCTGGGCTTAACATTCTTCTCCCATGCTTTGTTGAGCTTCCTTCTTCGGTGGCTCCGGTAGCAATAAAAGATACCGACCACAGCAATGGTGATCACAAGTAATGGGACAAGACTTATAACTGTGACTTTAGTAATCTCATCTAGGATTTCAGGACTTGGTTGGGTATCTGAAAGTACAAAGAAAATCATTGTTCAGGTTTATATACTAAGAGAGGTAAGAGCTAGGGCACCTAGCTCTAGGAAAATGCAATTTAAGTATGTTAAAATAAGAACTGGTTGAAAACGGGGGGAAAGGATGGGGTTTTGAATTTTTTTAAATTCAAATTCTAGTTGAAAATTCACAACTTGAAAAAGTATTTCAACCATCTCCAGTGAAAATCGAAATTCATTATAGTTTAGACTAGACCTACTGTTCTGTTTACAAAAATATACATGTGCATGTACAGCTTCCCAAACCGTTTAAACAAACAACAAGCAACATTAATAACAACCTTGCTCTGTACACCAGGCTTCATTTAGAAGAAGCCTTCTAATGCAGTAAAAGATCCTAACCTGTTAATGTAGCTAATAGGGCTCTTCTCTTACGAGATCAGATTTCTTGTGCATTTTGGATGAAGTCTTGGCTCCACTGAATAAGTGCTAAAATGTCTACTGACTTTAAGAAAGCCAGAATTTCTCACTGTTCTGGCATATTAGAAAGTCTTTCTTAAATTATTTATTGATGACATTAATTAATTTAATGACAAGAAATACTTTTCACTACTGGCATGATCAGTAGTTTGGTGATACAGCACCTGCTGCCTCTTTGATTCCATCTCAGATCTAATGTTCGAAGGATACATGAAACTATTTTCATCACAAGCTATTGCTTGTACATGCAAAACATTATGCCTACACACACACACACACACACACACACACACACGAACACCATTCACCACCACATGTGCTTCTACATATGTGCTGCAGGAACAATTCTTATAGCTTGCACATCCGAAAATGTTAACGTTTAAGTAACAATGTTCATTTTTATGCATTTTTTCATGGAGGCTAGGTTTGACTGTTATTACCATCTAAAATCTAATGTATGTATAATGTCCTAGGGACACTAAGTGGGTGGGTGGTAGAGTAAATATCTCAAGCGGTGTACACCATATCACTTATCTGGTATATTCGTGGCAATCTCAGCAGAGACAGAAGTCTGAGCCACCTTCCTTGCTTAGTGGTCCTTCCTCTGGGTCAGTCCTGAGGCATTTTTTAATGAAGGTGGATAACTGGCCACAACCGAAGCCTGTATGGTTACTAAATTGCAGACCTCTTGTCAGGCACTCTTATACTTCTTTAGTGTCAGTGTACTGGGTTCTTTTGACAAGATACCAAGGGAGGAAAGGAAGTTTCTTCATACTGCATTTTATTGGATTTCTATACCTAGTCTGCTGTGGTACACAGAAATGCATTTTCTTAAACAACTTTTTTTTTCAAGTACACTCAAATGCTTTATGTTATCTCAAGCAATGATTACAAGAAGCCCTGAGAGTTGGCTGAGTGGACTAAGATTGTCTGTACCATCTCTATCCTGAGCCTGAAACCACCACCAAGAAGTCTTGCTCATCCAACTGCTTTTGCTCAGGATATGCCAAATATTAGAAAGGAGACACTGTAGACCACAGTTGAGCATGCATCAACAGGCTTGAGACAATCTCTGTACCTCACTCTCCCAAGGCCACTTTCAGCTGGCTACATTACATTATTTCTGGGATTTGGCATTCCTGGAATGAGTGCAAGTGGGTAGGGCACATCCCTTAGTGGTGGTCCTGGGCTCAAACATGGAGAGAGAGTAGACAAGCTGTAAGACACCTAAACTGGTAACTACAGCTGAGTGAGTGTCTTACATTGGCAGTGCTACACTCAGGGGCTGTTTACAGCAATGCCATTGTCTCAGGTTTTGTATAATAGGCTAAATAAGTCAAGAGGAAGGAGAAAACCAGTATAATGTCTGAGATACAGTTGCCACTGTATTACACAAAACTTCTAGTTAATTTTCTTCAGTTTCCCTGCACTACAAGACAGGAGAGCTGCTTAAAACATCATATAACAATGTGCAAAAAAAAAAAAGAAAAAGCCTTTTATGGTCAGAATGAGTTCCATATTGTAACCCAAGAATCTGACTTCCACCACCCCTCATCCCTCCCCCTCCAAAAAATCACTCCTATATTATGGATTTCTATTTAACAGCAAAGCTGACTGTTTTTTAAAAGGCAGGAGGTAACACAAATGAGAGGTATCTTTTAAGCTGAGAATATATTGATTCTCCCCTGTTTGGAAGGGCATCTTAATACTCAACCTAGCTCTGTTCAAAGAGTTCGCTAATCAGGTATAAACCAAGTAACTCAATCATGGCTTGTCTGACACGGTCATTAAGGAGGGAGCTCATTTCCATTCAATACTGACATTCTCAGCTATCACAAGTACACTATTAATGACACACGTGCATTAATAAGAAGACAAAAATTTCCTTTTGCATTTGTAAATGGCTCCTGCTAGGTTCAAGAAAAAGGGACAGTAAAAACAATTACTCTAAAATTATTTCCCTTGGCATATCACTCTGTGCCTATATTTAGAAGTTCATTGCTGATCAGTTCTCTCACATTTCATTCTTCTGCTTCTCAACAGACTGAAGGGAAAACTTATTGAAAAGTATATTTAGAAACTAACATCCTGCTGTCAGTAAACAGCAGTCCCATGCAGCGTATTTTGTGCATTCCATGTTTTCAGGAAACCTACCAGAAAAAAACTTAGGGGGTATCATCTAGTAGACTTGACTGAATTAGTCACTGAAATGGTTAGTTCTTTGGATTTGGTTGCAAACAGATTTTGCTTCCATCACTGTGCCTGCTATTTGTAACTGCTAGATACATATACGTATTTAGGTTCATGGCTGATGAACTTATTTAGGTTTGTGGCTTCTCCCCACCCCCCAGCATGTATTTAGTATTTGAACTCTGCTATTTCAGCTGTGCCATTAGTCACCTATGTCACATGGGGTGGTTTCTGCCTAGCCAGAGATAAGAATGCTGAGGACATTTTAGGATACATTTAGCCTTTCCTGTCTTCCTTTGAACAGGAAAAGGCATTATGCTCAGCTATAGACATGGGGCCCAACTTCTAAAATACTGGTGTCTTCCTGACTGAGGGAGAAAATTAGATTTACTGGCTGCCTAGCTAGCCAGACTTGCAATGACATGGCAAGGGGCGAGGACTTTCAGAGTAGTCATATACACACTAGATGTGTCTACACGAGATGCTTATTGTGCAGTACCCTAATAACACTGTGCAGTAGCATCTTAGTGCAGTTTTTGACAGGCACACTACTGCACAGTGTTATTAGGGTATTGCACAGTAAGCATCACAAAAAAATTGTGTGCTGGTACTACTGTGCAGTACCTGTAGTTACTGTGCATTTAGTTATTTCATTAAGCAAGTACTAAACTAAATGCACAGCAACTACTGCACATTAATGAACGTGTAGACATGGCCACAGAGTTGCACATGAGATGACTGTGACTCAGTTTATTCCCAAGTGTATTTGACTCTGAGTGTCAAGGCTTTCCATCTACCTAAGCGTCTCTTACTTCTGTCCATCATTATAAAATCTGAAAGCACTCTTTATTAGTTGGAATTGAAATAGAAAAGTCTCTAGTGGACTTCATGAAGGTTCTGGATCTTCTCCCTTTAGTTAGCTGTACTTGGGGTATGTAAATTTTTTTTGGTTTGGGTGGAAAGTGATTGATGTTGCAGGTGTAACTCTGAATATAGAAAAAAAAATAGGTAAAGAGCTGAGCATTTTGGCTACTGACTCCCTATATGCCCTCTTATTCCTGGCCTCATGCTGGCACATCCTCTATGCCAGGGAGTGAGGAGGTGGGAGAGGTAGGCTGGGTGGCATATAGGGTGTTCCAGCACCTTGGGAATTCTGAACTGAACCAGCAGATCTAAGCCAGGGTTGAACCAAAAATCAAAATCAGATAGATTACATGTGTTGGGTGTATGTGTCTGTGTTGGGGGTTGAGGAACTTACCTGACAGATGTGTATGTCCACATGCTCAAATATATGTCTGTGAATCAAACCCCACAATTGCTCAAATGAAAGTGCCTCTTCTCCTCTGTCCATCATTGTTTATCAAAAAGTGCCAGGAAACAACTAGATAGAACAGCCATTCATTTTTCTTGCCAACATGCTTTGAAATAATTTCCTCCACTACTTAGTGAATAGGAGAGTAGTAATATGTGTAGACCCATTACTCAGTAACAGCAGTATTTCTCAGGCTTAAAAAAGTACTAGTAAAATAATACAACAATAGTCAATGGTGGCTAAAAGAAAGCTTCCTGTATGCATAGTACGCTAAGCACAAGTCATCTCCATAGCCCTTGACACTACCTTAAAAGTTAGGCAAAATAGTATTCAAGTGCTAGGAAAAATAGAAAGATTTCAGCATCCTGTATTAACTGTAATGAAACTACAGCACGCTTCATTTGCTTAAATACTAAATCTTTGAGGTAGATTATGTGTTTTTGCACACATAAATGGCACCTAAATACTTAGCAATAAAATAACAGTATTGATAAAACTAGGATCTCTGCTACACAGCAGAGAACAGATACACAAGTAGTGGGGACAGGATGGGTATAAGGGACAGCCTTTATTTACAAAGCTGCTTTGTCTGACTTGTATGACTGCTTGTATGACTCCCAGTGAGGTTGTCAACCTATTCAAGGTGGCAAGGGAATGTTCCATACTGTCACAAGTCAGCTTAAACTCATTGGCTGCTCTTGAAAAAATACAACTTGCTCAGCTACAAAAAGATCTTGAAAGTGTATCCTGCACAAAGAAATATTTGTAACATTGAGATCAGGGTCTTGGTCCTGCTCCAGGTGTTTTGCCCTGTTCCCTCTGCACAAGGCAGCCCTTAGACCTGACTGCAGGACAACAATTCAGGTTTGTGGTTTTCAAGCTTGGTTTCATTCCACATTGGAACGAAACTGAAACCTTTTAAATATTTTTCATGCAAATGGAACTGCAGCAAAAGGTCTGGCTTTTGGATTGAAACCTGAGCTTTTTTTGACTTGGCAACAAGTGTCTGTGTATCCCTTTGATAGTCAGGGACTG